GCCTTACTAGAAAGACTCCAAGAAGGAACAGCGAGGATTCTAGGTCAGTGGGGGTCAAGAAAATTAGATTTTCTTAAAATCACAGACTCACTCCAAATGACAAGTCTGAAAGAAATGGCTGGAAAGTCAGGTCTTTATTTTGCTTTCTTTGGTATTAAAAAGGAAGGAATGGGAAAGAGGCCTTACTAGAAAGACTCCAAGAAGGAACAGCGAGGATTCTAGGTCAGTGGGGGTCAAGAAAATTAGATTTTCTTAAAATCACAGACTCACTCCAAATGACAAGTCTGAAAGAAATGGCTGGAAAGTCAGGTCTTTATTTTGCTTTCTTTGGTATTAAAAAGGAAGGAATGGGAAAGAGGCAGCAATAGCTTTAATGGCTTCAAGCAGCTCCCCAAAACAGGGAAGGCTGCTTCTGAAGTCGGGGAAATAGTTTTCACAGAAAACTAATGCTGTTGGGGAAGTCCCCACTTGCTATTCTGGAATATTTTTAGAAGTATTGTAACATTAAATCATGGTGGGCTCAGCAAAAGAAAACAAAAAAATAACATGGGTTTAAATGAAAGCCTGGGTGTGGGAGCCAAGACATTGAATGACTTCCAGATGCCCTTGGCAGTGTAATTCAGAACTGTGATGACCCTGGCTAACATTCGGCTGCAGGAAAAAGATTCTCTAATGCGGACAGATTCTGCTCTGTGAAACACAACTCTGTGTCTCTCTGGCCACTCTCTGCTGGGAATATGCATTTCCACAAGGGCATGCCAGAGCAGGGGCCCTCCACTCACACAGTGGGTCACAGAACCAGTGCTGTGTATGAGAAGGACACAGACTCATTGGTGAACCCCTAAAGGGTGGTTTCCTTTGGCAAATTGTCTTTTTTTTTTTTAAGTCACTCAAGGACTGATCTTACATCAAGACAGTTAGGTTCCATCTTTGCATTTTGTGCTTCTGACCTTTTGTCTTTGTGGCATGTATCCAAATGTCTCGTCAAAGCTGCAATGGGTCTGACCCATCTATACAGTTGCCAACCTTGCAAGTTCATTGGTATTTGGAAAAACTAAACTTCTTTCCTCCCCTCCCTCTTATTTTTGTAGGATCAGAGCCACACACAAGTGTCACAGTACCGCCAGGATCCCTCCGTGATCATGAGGTCAATTGTCCATATGACCGATGCTGCCCGCTCTGGGATCATGCCCACTCCCCAGCTGACCACCATCAACCAGTCTCAGCTCAGTGCGCAACTGGGCTTGAATTTGGGAGGAACCAGTGTGCCCCACACATCTCCTTCACCTCCAGCAAGCAAATCGGCCACCCCTTCCCCTTCCAGCTCTATCAATGAAGAGGATGCTGATGAAGCCAACAGAGTAAGTTAGAGATGGCTTAGTACAGAGCCTGGAAGACTGCTGGGCCAGGCCCTGCTCAGGCTTTCGATTGCATTTATGGTATTGCTTTCTTTTTCTTCGTGGATTTGGAGAACCGTTTCAGTTGATGGTGGTTTAGTTTTTGGTTTTTTCTTCATACACAATTTTTGGTGAAAGGGTACTGAAACGAAAGAGCAGATCTCTATGAGCAGTAAGACCTTAAGCAAATCCCTTGAGTCTTTTTAGGTTTAACTGTTCTGCTCTGCAAATAGAAGGACCTGTACTCCGGTTTCCAATATTCCAGACTCTCGAGAAACTCTAAAGGTTCTAGTTCTGAGCAAGTTTCACTTGTTTTGCGGGGGATGACCACATTTTGCTACTACTGTATCTCACTGATGGCTACTGGGTAGATTTGAATTATTCTGTACCTTGCTCATGGAGGATACACTTTTGAATGTACATAGATTGCGGATGTGACTTTCCTGAATGCCCAAATGGATAGCTTTAATGAAAACCAGCACTGTAATGGTACACAATCACTCAGTATGCTTCTACTAATGGTGTGTTTTGAACCTGTTCTGTGCTTGCCAGTTTTCTTGGTTTTAGTGTTGTGAAGGTTTCTAAGAAGCTGGGGTGGTGCTCAGTGGCAGCTAGAATTTCTACTGTGTGCAAGGGTCTGAGTTCAATCCCCAGCACCACTGAAAGGGAGAGAGAAAGCGCTCACGCAATGTTGTCTGAAAAACTCCTCCACTGGTTCTGAATACCAATGTAAAAATAGTTCCAAATGTGATTAGTGGCATAATTGATGCCACTGGCATGCAGAGAATAGAATCACTTCTGCTTGGGAGGGTGAATTGAGGAAGACCTTATTGAGTAGCTTGTATTTGAATCAGGTATGAGAAGATGCATAAAAGTTTGTGAGGCAGAAGAAAGAGGCCAGCATTCTAGTTCAGGGGGAAAATGAGGAGCAATGGGAAGTGTCTCTCCATTTAAGAGTGCCGTGAAGTTTGACATAGTCGGGAGGACAGAAACAGAAGAAATGGCTTGGGTGTGCGGTGGCAATCTTGTGTGTGCAAGGATGGCCATAAATGGACAGATACTTTAGATGAACTACTTTGGCCATCTATAGTCTGTAGAAAACAATACACAGAGTGGGTGAAGAGAAAAAATAAATTAGCTAGAAAGATTTTTGTGCTTGCTGGTTTGTCTTCATCCAAGGAAGGAATGCGTGTGTAGTACCCGGTTAACGGGTGTTGCTGAATCCTGAAGGTGCAGTGATGGAATGGAAGAGATAAATCGCATTTTGGTTTGAGAGCCAGCACGGATGGGTTTGGCCTGCAACTGATGTGGGGAGTCACTTGAGGTGCTTACGTTTCAGTCCTTTGGAGCTGGAACTTCGGAGCTGGGGACTGTGTGCAAGACAATGTGAGAGTAAGCCAGTTTGGCCAGAAGGCCGAGAACCATTATCTTACCTAGCACAGGGAAGAAGAGGAGCTAGAGAAGACTGGGCTATGCGGAAAAGAGGAGGGTGGATAGAATGATACTGCAGAAGGCGAGGTGGATTTAAGGTGAGGTGTTTGGTCATGAAACGGTGTCCAGTGAGCACCCGGCTGGGCATGGAGACGTGACTGGGTGAAGGAAGGGAGGCCCAGGTCATGGCAGCCCAGCCAGGTGTGCCTTTCCATGTCCAGCTGGAAGCCTTCTCTCCCCTGGCATGCACTCGGCCCTGTGTCAAACAGAATTTGTCCATGTGACCCCACCCTGCCTTACTCCATTGTAAGTGAAGCTTTAGGTTTATGTGAAGACAGGAATCCAATTTGTTACCTTTTAAGCCAATTATCTGATAAAGGGGGATTAAAATGATTATTATATACCTCTTTTCAGCGAAGGTATTTTTCTAGCATCTGAAACCTTTGGCGTCAACTATGAAATGTTTTTTGGTTTTTATTTTTGTTTGTTTTTTTTTTTTTAAGAGAATATATCATGATCTGTTGTTTGAAGTGTAGGACTCTTCATTTCTAGATTAGTCTTAGAAAGAAATGGTGGTTAGGAAAAACTGCACTTTTCCAAGAGAGACCTCAGAACTTGCAGACACTTAAATCTGGCTTTACCAAAAGAAAACCTGTCTTCCATTAAGTATCTAACTGAAAGGAGTCTGGTTTCCCATCCAGCTTTTAGATCATTGAGTAGAATTAAGCAAGTCGTGCTGATTTTGAAAATTAAAAAAAAAAAAAAAGACTATGGAGTCTACAGAATTATCAAATTAACCCTTAAGTTATGAAGACTGGTCTTTTAGAAGGAAGGGAGGTGAAGTCCATTTGTATTTGGTTGTCAATCAAAGTCAGGATAAGCTAGAAGTCAGGCAGCAGTTCTCAAAGATTTAAATATGCAGTGTTCTCCAGGAAAAGTTACTGCTTATTAGGTTCCTCCCTAAGAATTTTCAGCAATTGGATTAAATTCCAAATGACCCTCATTTAGAAAGTTTTAAAACTCTAGTAATATTTGAATTAGGGCTGAAAGTCCTTAAAATCCAATCTGTTAGTAACTTGAGTCAGCTCTTGTTCGTCAGGCCCAAGCCTGGCTTTTAAACAGGCTTTGGCAAATGCTTGGGGATTCTTGATGCAGATAACCACAGCCGAACAAAGCCTTCCCTGTATTTGCACTGTAATCTCAGTCAGAGAAAGCAGAGGGGGGTGAGTCATTTTCTTCCTCCTTGGATGGGTGTCTCTATGATGTGGTCAGGACAAAGCAGGTGATAGGATCTAGACAGAATGCTCAGTGGTCAAGAGCACTTTCTGCTCTTGCAGAGGACCCAGGTTTGGTTCCCAGCACCCACGTGGCAGCGCACAGCCTTCTGTAACTCCAGTTCCAGGGGGTCCAGTGTCCTCTCCTGGCTTTTATGTGTAGTGCATGCATGTAGTGTATAAACATACTTGTAGGCAAAGCACTCATACGTGTAAAATAAATATAAACAAACCAGTAAATAAATAGGTGATAAACAGCAAATTAAAAGGAAGCTTGGCTGTATATAAACTTGGGTCTCTATCCGTATCCTGCGTAGGGTTCTGACTGGAGAGCCCACATTGAGGACGTGTCTCTGTACAGAGCTGCTACATACTTACCTTGTGTAATGAGTAGCCTTCTTGTAGCTTTCCTGTTAGTCTTGATGGTTTTAAATATCAACTGGTGTTCTTTTACAGGCTGCTAATGTTTTGATGAGTATTCATTTCTTTTCTACCTCCAGTTAAAGTGGCTTTGACATTTTTATATTTCTCATTATCTTGTCCTTTCGAAAGTTATTATTTTAGAAAATAAAGATGACCTTTCCTTTATTGTGCAAGTGTAGTGATTACAGCTAATTTCTATTTGCACTTCCAGAGGCTCATTAGCACAGCAACCTTCTTGTAAAGAGAGAGAGAAAAAAATCAGCCATACAAAAATCAATTCTGACCAGTCATACAGATGGCATGTAACTATGGCAGGGGGCCTTGTTTAAAATATCCTAATATGATCCATATCCAAACTGTGATTAGGTTTTCCTTCTAAACCCTCTGACTGTGAACTGTCTTGCTCATGTGCACGTGTGCAGAATTGTATATAGATAGCGTGGCCTGGTACAGAGTGCTCTGACTTTCATTACTCATAATTGCCATGGAAAGCATATGTTGCGAATATATTGAAGCTACTTCCGGGTCTCATTAATCAGTGTGCTAAATGCTAATCTCTGCTGTCCAGTTAGCTCTAAGCAAGTTTGCCCCTCCCCCGCTTTTGGTGGCAATTCATCTGTTGATGATGCTTAACAAAACCTTCAAAGAGCAACTGTGGCTTGGAGTGAGTCTTGTTGCATTCTCTGTAAGTTCATTCTAGGCAGTGAATTTTCTTACTGCTTTGCAGGCCATTGGAGAGAAAAGAACGGCCCCAGATTCTGGCAAAAAGCCCAAGACTCCAAAGAAAAAGAAAAAGAAAGATCCCAATGAGCCACAGAAGCCAGTGTCAGCATATGCCCTGTTTTTCAGAGACACACAAGCTGCAATTAAAGGTCAAAACCCCAATGCAACCTTTGGAGAGGTCTCCAAAATTGTAGCATCTATGTGGGACAGCCTTGGAGAGGAACAAAAGCAGGTAAGGCAAGCGTCTGTCATGGAACGTATATTTAAAAAGCTACAAGAATATTCCTAGCAATCTAATATGATTGCTTCTTAAGAAAGCCTGTCTAAACTATGGGATTAAAATGTGTGCAAATAAATCCAAACAACTCTGCCTGTATTGATTTCTAGTCAACTTAAGAGTACAGGCTCAGAATCTGTTCACGGGAGACTTGGAAGAAATCTGGCCAGTAGCCTGCAAGCAAAGTTTTGATGATAATCTTTTCATTTTAAATAATGTGGAATTTTCCCTCTTTGTTCAGAAAGGGATTAGGTCCATCCTGCTTGCTTTTCCATTGATCATCTTTCTGAACCCTTGTGCTATCCTGGTGCGTTTCCAAACTTTGAAGCTGCCTCTGCATGTCTCATTATTGTCACTGAGCATTTGAAATTTTATTCTAAGTTCATTTGAAAGCTATGTAGCATGATATATTCAGAGATTTGCCATGCTGGTGGGAGATACTTCCTCGGGGGCCTGCTCCCCTCTTCAACTCCTAGCCACAAATGAAGGGAAGAATGGGGTCCTTTGGGGTTGGTCCTCTCCTGCTTGCATAAAACTCCAATTACCTTTAATGGAAGTTTGCTATATCTTATGGAAGAATAGACCCCTATCAGCAATAAAACAGAAGGATTGCTTCAGAAGGGAAGCGTAGAGAGATGTATATCAGCCCCTCATTCCTGCAGCTTGTTCACTGGAATGGTGCAGCTACTCAATGCGCCTGTTTGCTTGCCATCGGCTTATTACCATACACCCTACACTGGTTTCTGTCCCCCACATGAAGTTCTAAGGAACCAGGGAATTACTGCCACACACTTAACATATTCTAGAGAGAGGGTTTTACTTTGTTCTAATAGCCAGCCATCAGACTCCTTAATAAAGATGAAGCCCAAATCTTGTATAATCCACCAGTACTCATGTAACTCCTTGATCTCACTGTGACGGTCTCCCATCTTTTATTATTTATGATTTCTACTTTTCTTTCGTTCTTCAAAAGAAGCCCAAGATTGAGATGCCCCCATCTTTTCTTTTTTTGTCTAATTAAAAAAAAAAAAATTAGTAGCCAAGCATAGTGGTGCACACCTGTAATCCCAGCACTCAGGGAGGCAGAGGCAGGCGGATCTCTGTGAGTTCGAGGCTAGCCTCGTCTACAGAGTGAGTCCAGAACAGCCAAGGCTACACAGAGAAACCCTATCTTGAAAAACAAAAAAAAACAAAACAAACAACAACAACATCAAAGTATTTATTTGTTTATTTTGTATGCAAGGGCCGCCATGTGTGATGGGAAGTTGACACTGATGGGAAAACCTAGTCCTTATTAGAATTTAAGCCATTTGTGGAGAGGTGGTGCTCACTGCTTGTTCACTATCTAGGAAGAGGGCTTTGGCAGCAGCCTGAGATCATTTTCTCTTTCCATCATCAAACATCCTCAAAACCGGGCTTGGCTGTAGGTGGCAGGGCTTTTTGGGTTTTTTTTACATTACTCCTCTTTCTCTCTCTCTCTCTCTCACTCTCTGTTTGTCTCTGTCTCTGTCTCTCTCTCTCTCTCTCTCTCTCTCTCTCTCTCTGTGTGTGTGTGGAGAGAGAGAGAGAGAGAGAGAGAGAGAGAGAGAGAGAGAGAAAACATTTGAAAAATCAAAGCCGGTGAGACCGGGTTTTTAGGTGAGCTCTGTTTATGTGACCTAATTTGTGTAGCAGGTTTATAGCTAAGAATTTATAGCCTGAGGGTGGTGCTAATTGTGGTCTTATTTTAATAGGTATATAAAAGGAAAACAGAAGCTGCCAAGAAAGAATACTTGAAGGCCCTGGCTGCCTACCGGGCCAGCCTCGTTTCTAAGGTAAGCCTGCTGCGGCGTGGGAGCGGCCCATGTGTGCACTGCGAACATCGGTGTGGCTCCTTCAGAGCCTTCCATTAGACGCTACCCACCCGACGGGGTGAACAGTGGGAGCTCCTGTAAGCTGCTGCAGCCAAATTACTGCTCACGCGTTGCTGCTCTTTTTGTTTGTATTTTGTAGCCATATAGATACATTTTAAATAGCCTGTTGTTCTTTCCCTGTGTGGGGAGTTGGTTCTGGGTTAATGGCCTCAGTTTGAAACTAGAGATACGCTTGTCGGGCATATGTGAACATATCACAAGTTCTCTGATGGTTACATTATTGTAATCAGCAGTGGTGTGTTTTTGAGCATTTGTTTCACATCATATAAAGAAGTAAACCTCATGATTATTTAAAGTAAAATCATGTTCCAAGTACTAAGACACAAAAGTATATTTATTATGCATACAGTGATGTATTCTAAAAGGGGCTAATATCCCACAGCAGCTCTGCTGTAGGTCAATATTACCTTGATCCAAAAGGAATGTAGACATACTCTGTCTGTCTATCTGTCTGTCAGTATGTCTCTCTGGCAGTCCTAAGGATTGAACCCAGAGCCTCCCACTTACCAAGCACTCTAACTCTCAGTCCCGCCAACAGACCTAAGCTCTTACATTATTTTATCAGCTAGTTACTGAAGTGTTTGCCTTTCTAGATTCAGACAGTCTTTGGGGTGAATACTTTGGACTAAGCAGGTTTCTGCACCAAACTCGTCTCTTTTGAGACATCAGTTCCATTTGATCATTATTGTTATCTCAAGTACATAAGGCCTCAAAGGCATGTTGAAAGGACTTTCTCCCTTTTTGTCTCTTGTTCACCTGAGTTTTTTCTTCTTTGTATGATGATCCACCACGGGCAGCCATGCTGAATCAGATCAACAGAGGGCCTCCTCCCTTTGTTGACAGCTCCCGGGACACCTCCCACTTCATTAGAGACAAAACATGTATCAGGTCAATAGCAAAACCCTTTTCTTGAGATTCTGGAAGATTGTATACTGGGCAATGCACCGAGGGTAAAGTCAGATGGAAAGCAGGTTGTGCGGGCGGTGGGCACCGTGCTGGGTACAAGCACATGGAGGTGGAGAATGGTGGGCAGGGTGGCTGTGTGTGCTTCTCAGGTGGAGCAGGCTGCCTTCGGCGTACCCAGAGGCAAGGACAGGTGACCTTTGCGTGTGACTGTGTCAGCAGTTGACCACATACAAATTTAAAGCAAGGACTGCTGTCTCAACGGGAAATAAGAAACCACAACTAGGATCTTCAAGTCTGTGACTGGCTTAGAAAGGATAATTTAAATACTGACTAGAGTCAGTGTTCCAAATGTGCTTTAATGACACTTCACGAAAAAGACAGAATTTAAAAGGGTAGACTGAAAACAATTTGTTTTCTTAAATTTGGTAAACGTTGTTCACAGAGACCTGGGATTTATGTAATTAGGTGGTTGAGAGGAACTAAAGTCATAGTTGAGGTGCGTTGTCAGAAGAATTTCAGCCTGCCCCTGAAGATGCCAGGAGGCACATCCAGGCCCAGAGTGGCCACTTCCCACTCCTCTGAGGAAAATGTCTCTGTTGGGAGTTTCACAAGTTAAGACGAAGAGCAGTTGAACACTTTCAAACTTGCCTTCATGCTGAGGAGGGGTGTACATCAAACCCTCTTAGAGGAATTAGAAGCTTCTGGTTGATGAGTTTTGGAGACCTAAGATCTTAAGCCTTCAACAATAAGGACCAGTGAAAGGGCACAACAATAGGTTTGCATCACGCGCCGCTATAATCTGAGCCTCTGTGCACACATCACAGAGCTCCCATCCAAGCCGAAACGACCGTCTACTGAATGTAACTATTCGGAGGTGTTAGTAGAGGCTTACCATTAGGTTTTCAGTGAGTAAATCTTGCAGGTACCTCCACAGTCACCACGCCAGCATCATTCACCCCTGAAGTGCCGCCTCAGGGCTCCCTGATGCCACTGGCCGGAGTCAACAGATTCCATATAGTTTCTTTCTTAAAACCAGCCTGCTGGCTTTTAAATATTTGAGAGTTTTATTACAAAATGGTGCATATTCGATTTTGTGAGGCCTGTAAACGTTTCTAATGCACACTCTCAAAGATCCGGAGATGCGCACTGGAAGAGCTGTAATCCCTTGTCCTTCAGTGTGTGCATATTTACAGCACTGGCTTCCCTAAGCCTCTAGACTAGGGCCGCCCAATTCTGATGTTGCATTTCAGTCGCATTGGGTTTATAAACCAGAGAGCACTGTCCATGCAAGAATGATGCTTTACAATGATGGGTCTTGTCTAACCAGAGCCACTGGCTACACCATGTGACCCTATAGGAGGCCATTTTCTGGTTCTCTCAAGTAGCAGAATTTTATAAATCGGAGTCACAGAAAGAAATTCAGAAGTAAATATTTAAAAGTATTAAAGATGTCTCATGATACTTGATTGGAGCATGGTGTCCCCTGTTAATCCCACCACAAAGAAGAACTCCAAAGGAAGTAGAGATAGTTCAATGATAGTGTACTTGCCCAGCATGAAGGAGGCCCTGGGTTCCACTGGCACCACCAAGCAGTCAAGCAAACAGAGTAGTAAAACATGATTTTACAAAAAATAAAGGGTGAAACTATCTTTAAGGTGAAACATTCCAGCCACTTTTGCATGTGTAAAAGAACTTATATTAGCAGATATTTGGGACACAAAATGGAATAGACCTATTCCATTGTTTAACGAGTTATCACATTGTATGATGTTTTAAGGTTCTCTCTTCATCTATGAATTCACTGATAAATTCTCGGGCCTGTGAAAACAGTTGTTAAAGCTGAAACACTTCTAAAGTCATGATTACTTCCATTTGGTGTCTTCAAAGACTGTAGTTATAGTTTTTTAATATTTGAGTGGTCATGGAGGTAAACAGTTATGCGAATGGGTTTTTGACATTTTCCAGTGGTTCAGGTTTCTGGTGGTATCTCTTGTTAACGTGCAAGTACTCCCTGAGAACCACACCGTTCTGCTTGCGTAGTGCACGAATGACTCCTCTCATAGCTTCCATACAAGTCCACTCCAACACCCTGCCACGTTAAAGAAGGGGAACAGATACGTGAATAAACACCGCCAGAGACCCAGAGGTGTACATTGGTAGAGCTGAGATCCATTGTCTTTCAAAGAGTGTTGCTTCGGAAGGGAGGCTAGAATGGGTAGAGTGAAGAACTGTTACTTTTACAAGGGGTATCAGTTATGTCATTTCCCAGGTAATGCTGTGTAACAACCAACCACAAACCCCAGGGACATGCAGAGATAAGCTTTCTCAGAGAGAGCCAAGTGGCTGGCTTCAGCCTGAGTCCTGCTCTTCTGTCTGATTGAAGGAGCAGCCCACCTGCAGTTGGGTGCTGACAGGGGCTGGCTCCCGGTGAGGCAGGGCCACGGCTCTGTCTTTCTGGGGGGACTCTCAATGTAGAGAGTGGAAGCGTGCACCATCCCTCAAGGAGTCAGCATGGAACTGGCACACTTTCACCCTCATCCCATCCCAGTGAGCAAAGGCGCCACCGCAGCCCAGCCTCCCGGTGGAGCAGAGCCAAATTGACTCTGCCTTCAGGAGGCCCTTAGATGGTCACATGACAAAGGCAGTGGGAAGCCTGAGTAGTGGTGGTTTTTTAGTAGTTTTTGAGTCAGTTTATAGTAAATGTTGATAGATTGTAACATTCTGGAACTTCATCTCTCCCCATGCAGGCTGCTGCTGAATCAGCTGAAGCCCAGACCATCCGCTCTGTCCAGCAAACTCTGGCATCAACCAATCTGACATCGTCCCTCCTTCTGAACACACCACTGTCTCAACATGGGACAGTCCCAGCCTCACCTCAGACTCTCCCACAGTCGCTGCCTAGGTCGATCGCTCCCAAGCCCCTAACCATGAGACTACCCATGAGCCAGATTGTCACATCCGTCACCATTGCGGCCAATATGCCCTCGAACATTGGGGCTCCACTGATAAGCTCCATGGGGACGACCATGGTTGGGTCTGCGGCCTCCACCCAGGTGAGCCCTTCGGTGCAAACCCAGCAGCATCAGCTGCAGCTGCAGCAACAGCAGCAGCAGCAGCAGATGCAGCAGATGCAGCAGCAGCAGTTGCAGCAGCACCAAATGCATCAGCAGATTCAGCAGCAGATGCAGCAGCAGCATTTTCAACACCACATGCAGCAGCACCTACAGCAGCAGCAGCAGCAGCATCTCCAGCAGCAGCTCAACCAACAGCAGCTGCAGCAGCAGCTGCAGCAGCATCTCCAGCTGCAGCAACTGCAGCACATGCAGCACCAGTCTCAGCCTTCTCCCCGGCAGCACTCCCCTGTCACCTCACAGATCACATCCCCCATCCCCGCCATCAGCAGCCCCCAGCCAGCGCCTCAGCAGCACCAGCCTCAGATCCAGTCCCAGACACAGACTCAAGTATTGCCGCAGGTCAGTATTTTCTAAGGTGCACCAGGCACTGGGATCTGAGGGAGGCGTGGGTCGGAAGGTGTACGGACTGGAACTTGTAAGTTGACTCCGGTTATACAGAAATGTGTAACAGGTCAAACGGTCCTCTCAAGTGTCTATTAGATAGGCAATAAGAACTGCGGTGTAGCTGGGAAGCATCTTTTAGCTGACTATACATCACTTTGTTTTTAAACAAGAAAGCTGCGCTCTGTCATGTGCTGCCTTTTTTATTTATTCAGGCTAGACCTACAATATGTGAATCAAACCGTTTAATGAATCCTGGGACATACTGATGACTGTAAACTGGCCTTTCCGAGTCATAGAAAAAAAATGGCCTTATTTCTCCAGAAGTGAGTGAACCACACTTCCAGGCTATTTGAACTTCTGAAATAAAATAAATAACTGAGTACAAAGCACAGTTGTAACTACCTGAAATATGAAGATCCAGTTTCATACAAACATTTGTATGATGTGAATAGTTGATGGCATTTTTTTGTCATGAAAAAAAAAATAATGTAAATCACAGACTTTTGCCAAAGCTCTTATTTTTTTTCTAAATCTCTCCAGAAAAAAAAATGCAAGTGATTCAATTATTGATTTATTTACTTATTTCTACTTTGTATCCATGACTTCTCTGAATCAAACCACTGTATATGTTGTGACAATATCTACGGCCACTGTTAGCCCATTATCTTCCTTCTGATTAGAAGAAATGTGAATACTATATTACGTGTTTTGAGTGACAAGTTTCAAAAAATAAAAACACTGTATTTTTAAAAGGGAAATGCACTTAAATGAAACAGTTATTACGAAAGTTAAGATTTAAAAAGAAAAAGCAAGAGTTTTTATTATGATGTAATACCGGTAGAATATTGAATATTTAAAAGGCACACTACATCTGAAATAATCAATGTAAATATTTTCTTTCCAAGTTGTAAGTTTTCATATCATGTGTTGTAAAGTTTTCCTAAATGAGGCTTTAACGTAAACACTGGTGACATAAACCATTCATTGCTACATTGCTTATTGTGTTTTTATGCTGTTTTATACTTTTTTATGAGTTATGATAGCAGCAATTAAGTTGTTTGTATTTTGCTTAACTAAAACAAAATGCTTTTATCTTGCTATAGAATAAACACATTTCAGTAAAATCTGTGGACTGTATTTTGATGCATCGACAAGGACACTGTTCACTTTTCAAATAAAACGGAATGTCAAATTTTACTTCTGGTCCCTTCAATACGTTAAGATGGGGAACATGGCACCAACCAGCCTGCCTGAGCTGACTGCCATCCTTCATTTTCATCCAGAAACACAATATTCATGACCAGGAATTGGGATTTTACAGCCAAACACCAAGGCCCTGAAAAAAAATGTGAAATTATGTTGTTTTTTTTTAATTATCTTTTTTGTAAAGATACAAATAATTATGATATAAATAATTACAAATAAAATACAGATAAGATACAAATAAATTTATGGAAGGCAAAATGCAGTTGTGTTCTGTTCAGGGCTGGAACTGTTTGCCATTGTGTTATTATTTCTATTAAAGTGAATGGTGGATCCTAATTTTGAGGCCAAAATAAGAGTTTCGGTGCCCACCTCCCCCCTTCTTCTCTGCTCTGTGGTGGCTTCTCTTTGAGAGCTGCGTGACCATGGTCCCCAGTTGTCTTGCATGATTAATTACAGTATCTCTCCTGTCAGAAACTGTAATGAAGAGGTCTTGATAAAAATTGCAAATTACCACTGGCAACAGTCTTAAACTGCTTATGATAAAATGAAAATTAAAAACAGCAAGTGTCAACCCTGACTGGAATCCTAATCTGGAAAGAATGAGGGTACGCATAACGGTGCCTATTACAACTGTGTGCAAGACATTCAAAAATAATAGAATATGGATTCCTCAAAGTTGTTGTACTTCAAAGAATATTTACTGTATGTTGTGGGTTATGAATAATGAATTTTGCTTTCAATATTTCATAATCCTCTCATACCCTGTATTATGTACAAATATTGAACAGCGAAAGATTCTAATTATAAATTTATAGGTTTCTTGCTGTAGAAAAATTTATGTCTAAATTGAAGCTTTTCATAAGATGTATTAGTTGACAGGGATCAGTGTTCAAACAGTCCTAGAAAGACGCCTAACCACATCTACAAGGGGCCAATTGTGCACCACAAAGCAGTCAGCTGCCTGCAGCAGACCCATCAGGAGCAAAGCCAGCGTTCAAAGAGTCTCTGACTGGAAACCAACATTGCATAGCAATAAGAACATTTGATATTCTGTTGTGGGACCTTTAGACAAATGTCTTCAAAATTAATTGCTAAACTACATGTGACAGTAATTGTGTCTTAGTTCCATAATTGTCATTTTGAAAACCCATGAAGTATTGCTGGGGAACAAAAAATGTCACTGGTGATGAGGCTTAATTGCAAGTGAAATCTGTTTGCAACTGTTTGCAGTTTCAGGCCGGTGTTGTCACAGCTATTACGCGATCTTTTTTTTTTTTAAATCTTAGATTTTTATCACATTTCATCCAATTATGTAAAGCGGCTGATGGTCAATTCCAGGGGAAGAAAAAGATAGTTTAATTACTACAATTAAAAAAAAATAATCACCGGGCAACACTATATAGTTAAGACATCAAAGGAATTGAATTATATAACAAGTACCCCACTCTTGTTACCAAGTTGTTTTAATTGGGATTCACAAAAAGCTCTTGTGCTTCCATTTACATGAGTGACTGGTTTCTGTCCCTGCATCTAAGTAAGGCTTTGGTAGCCTTTCTTTAGTAGGTCAGAAATAAATCCGGGTGTTGAAAACCAGTGTGGGAAGCATGGTACCTGATTGGGTAGACCCCTAAATTGTTCCATGGACATTGAGAGTCTCCCTTTCCCCACACCCAATCTCCATCACACACACACCTTGCCTTGTCCCCTGCTGTGAAGACATTATTTTACTGCTCTAGCTGTGTTCCCTTTCTGCGGTCACCTGTATGGTGTTTGATGAGAGCGCATAGGACTTTCCATTTTCAGCTGCCATGGGGTCATTAGTTCCTGACTCAAAGAACGGAAACTTAAATGCCTTCGTGCAGCATAATTTCTGCAATGTATTACCACCTGACTGAAGGCGTTCGACACAGATGGATTAATATCTCAAGTTTAAGTAGGAGTCCTGTGCTGTCCACTCAGCGGGCTCCAGACATCTGAATGGTCTCTTCCCGTTTCTCACTTCACAGAGCATTTTCAGCACTGGACTTCAATCTAACCTTTCCTCCCCCTCACCCACCCCCTTTGTTTGGCTTTTGTTTTGCAACAGCTGTTATTATCGTTTTTGGTCAGCTGTGATTGCTGGAGGCAAAATAGGACCAGATGGTGTTTTGCTATGCATGAATGGAGCATTAGAGGAGTTGGGGCTGAATAGGCCAAGTTTGAATGGGGTCTATGCACCACCTGCCTGCCTTCGCTGGAGCAGCGTACACACCACAGTAGCATGATCCGTCTCAGACCTGCTAGAGTAGGATGGCAAAGTACAGGCTGGGGTGGCTTTCCCCCCATATTTATTGATCTTCCATGCACTAACAGAATAATGTACTGTACAGTCAATTTGAGTTAATTGCATATGACACAGCATGGACATGTAATCCATCACTCTAGAATTCTGGTTCACTTTAAGGATTTCATTGCTCCTTAACACACACACACACACACACACACACACACACACACACACACACACAC